GCTTTGGGGGAAGCTATTTCATCAGGGGCTCTACTTGCCAGTGGTCTCCTTCCTTGTTAATTTCACGTAGATGGCACCCCACCACCATTTTGGAAGTGTGAGAAAGACACAGTGGCCCTTTGGGTGGTGTCTGATCCAACAAGCAAGAGTGAACACATTGCCAGGAATGCTCCCTTTTAGTAATTCACACCGTATCAAGGGCAGTATTGGGTTCCCTGCACTCCAGCTCCTTCCAAATACAGCAAATCATAATTTTGTTAAGGGTCTCACCATCAGCCACAAATTAATTTCAATTCTCATTGCTTGTACACACACATATTTGCAAATACCCCCAGGCACTAAAGGTAAAGTAGTTATTTTTAAAGGTGACATCTTGCAATCCGGCTCTGAAGTTGGATGTACAACTTTATCGCATGAACACATTTTTAAGGTGGAACTGAACGTCCACGACTGTAAGGTAGAGGAAACCCTATATGTATTGAGATGTGTTTGTGTTATTTTTAATCCCTGCAAATTGTGCAGGAGAATTTAAGTAAACAGAAGCCGAAAGTACCCTAAAGTGGCAAGAGTTGTTTGTGAAATTTCATAGTAGAACAAAATATAAACTCGAGTAGAAACAAACTCCCAAAAGATTGCTCTTTTTTGTCAAGTGATGCTAAAGAACAGATGTCTTTGTTCAGCCATGAAACCATGTGTAGGTCCTATTACTCCCTCGACCATCAGACTGGAGAATGTAGCCCTAGAATATTCACTGTGCAGCGGAGCTTATCAACTGCGCAGTCCAGCAAGGTAGCACCAGCCACACTTAATGATTTAAATTCAAATGGATCAAGTTAAATACATATTAAAGTCCTGTGCACATTTCATGCATTCAAAAGGCCCCTGTGCCTGGTGGTCACTATGTTGGAGAGTCTGCAGTTCCTACATGGAAAAAAATATCAATCTTAAGGTGCATTTAAATTTGTATTGTTTTGTTTTACTTTATGCAAAGAAAAAAATGTGCAAAATTTCATTAAGGTCCTATAATATTTAGAAGATTTTCCAAATTTTAAAATCTATCAAATATCTGGAGTGAATGTGATAGCTCTCATGAGTTCTGTAGTTTTGAAAACCATTTAAATTACAAGACAATCATTTATTCAGCAGAGACCAGAAGCTTCAATAAGTTAGAAGGAAAACAACGGACTTGCAAAATACTTTGCAAGGTTTCGCAGTTCTCATGTGATCCTCCTGCTTCAACCCTAGAATTCTATATATTTTCATTTCTATCGATAAATTTTAGTGTTTATTCGGAATTACCACATTTGGTAATAGCATCGTTAATATCACATAAGGTTATTAGTAATGTTGTATAACCAACACAAACAGAAGACTATTGGTTTTGCTGTAAGAAGAGGTCTCTCCTTAGGAGCCAGGGGCTCTTTCTCCTTCTCCTCCTCCTGTGGAGAGGGAAATGTTTACAGAAATCTGGCGGAAGGCATTTTTGTCACTTTCCAGCTGAGTTTTGTGCAGCTGAGTGTGACTCCAGCCCCACAGAGCTTCAGATGAAAACTTTCAGGGGAGGAAAAATAATTTGCCTTGTTCTCCACGTGGTTAGCCGAGATACCCCCTGTAATAAAGGACAGATTAGCAGAAGAAAGAAGTTTATTTCATATGTACTGGGGTGCAGGTCAGGACATTAGACTTCCATCTGTCCTGAGCTCAGGAGAGGCCGGGCTGGGGCGGCCAATGGGAGGCGAGGAACTTGTGGAACAAAGAGGGCAGGTGTCTGAGAAGTGGCTGAGGGTTGGCCCTAGAGAAGGTGATGCCAGGAAAGGCTTAACTCTGGTAGGAATGCTTTCTGTGCCCCAGTGCAGATTCACTTAGGTAGTTGGAGGGAGATAAATGTCTTTCTGGAATCTTCTGGGTCTTCACTGCAGTCAAAACAATCCATGTACCAAAGTGTTGTGTTTTGGGGAGGCTGGTTCTAAACTTACCAGTGAAGAAAAAAGTCCCTGTCTATAGTTCATCCATGATTCTCATACCCAAGACCGTCCCCCTTCGTCCTCCCTTCCAGAGACTGATAGAAATGCAGGCTTTCAGATCCACTCCTAGCTCAGAGACTTATCCAAGTGCCTTCTGGATCAGTGACTTGCAGGCTTCAGGGAGCATTGTGCTAACCTTGCATATATGTCCAAAAGCTCCCTCCCAAGGCCAGTGCATGCATCCAGTGGGCGTGGGTGATGACACCTGCAGTCTGAGCAGCTACTAGTTGGTGGCAGTGGGAGCAGCTGCAGCTCCTGCTCCAGGAGGTCTGGTTCTCAGCATGGGTTGAGTGTTTGAATCACCTGGTGAGATTCCAGGAAGCCTTGGCTTGAGCCACACCTCCTGTGCAGGATGTGGAATTAAATGAGGGTCTGCAGCATGCGTACCGAGATATAATACACAGCCACGTGTGGGAAGCCCAGTGCACACATTTCACACTCAGAACTTCGACTGGGAGGAAATCAAAATCGGGCCTATGAGGCAACACTGTCTCCGCACGAGGCTGAAATATATCTCCTATATCTCCAGCGCTTGGAGGAGGAACACATGGCTTCTCCAGAGCTTCTCCATGGCCCAGGAGACCCCTCCAGGCCACAGCCCTGGGACAGGCAGACCAACCTTCCTCATTTAGTCCATAAACACCCATGACAGCTCCGCTGGGCAGCCAGCCTTCGGCTGCTCACAGGAGACACATCATTGAATAAAATGGAACTTAGATTTTACTGTCACTCCTTTTGTGATCAAAATGATTGCTTAGTGGTATTAAAGAAACCCCAGAAGTGGACAGTCCTTATTGCCACCAGAACAGATTCTATTCCGTGGAAGCTACTGCAGTGTTGGAGCTAGCAAGCACTGGGCTCAGTTCCAGAGACAGCAAGGAAAGGTGCGGAATCCAGCCCGGACCCAGAGGGAGGAGGGGTGGGGGAGGGGAGGCGGGCCGGGAAGGGGGAGGGGAGGGGGTCCGTAGCTGGCAAGTTATTCAGAGCAACTTCAGGATGAGGGGAGAAGGTGCTGAACCACCTAGCAGGACCCTGGCTGAAGACAGGCTGGCTGAGGGACCTGGGGGGTTGGGGTAGGAACCCCATCACCTGTGGAGGGAGGTCAGATTAG